AAGCATTGCGTGATGACACTGAAAGCGGCTGTGTGGGAGACTATTGGTGGCCTGGATATCTTTAATTTCAAGAGGATTGGCAAGAGGATTGGCTAACATTTTTTCTCAGATCAGCTGGGTGCAATTTTCTAGGAGTAATTCCTTCTATTCTTTGTCTTTCCAGGATGATTCAGCAGTTTGGTCAAGACTTTGAGAAGGCAATTGAAGGCTCAGGAGATACTATCGATACTGTAGAACTGTCAGGAGGTGCCAAGATCAGTAGAATATTTCATGAGAGATTCCCTTATGAACTTGTCAAGGTAGAACTGAATTCACGGGGGAAAGAGATATTTTCAGTTGAAAAGTACCCTACATGTGGCTCTGGATCTACTGTCTCCCCTCCCCCCTCTTAATTAATGGAGCGGGGAAAATAGAGACTGCACGCAAAATAACAATATGGCCGTCTGTTGTTTTTCTTTCAGATGGAATTTGACGAAAAACAATTACGACGAGAAATTATGTTTGCCATCAAAAACATTCATGGAATCAGGTTCGTTTTATGCAGAAAAAAACTGCATTGCATATTATTTTCGCATTATTAATTTATCCATTCAAGGCAAATCCTCATAATGTATGGCGGGTTGTCGCAGCATTGCACTTTCTGGTCACTTTTCATTTGCTCGATCCTCTGACTCGTATGTGAATAGAAATTGTTGGTTCTCTCCTCTGCTTCGAGGGTTTTTCTCCGGGTTGTCCGGTTTTCCTCCCTCCGCAAAAATCAACTTCTAAATTCCGCTTCGCGTCGTGCAACTCTTACGCTTTTCTTCGTGCTTAGCAACCTCCCGCGTGCATCTACGCACGCTACTTATGATCCACGTTTTTTACCGATACGGCGGCCATCTTGAATTCTATTGTTTTAACTAAAACATTATGGGATGCCGCGGGTCAACTGTTGGAAAGTTTAATAGACTGCACAGCTGTCAGGGTGTCTCTTTATATGACTTTACACTGTTCAATGACAAGCACATCTCAAAAGCAATTGAATTTCTGGTAGTTGGAACAATATGTGAATCACCATAACCCTGCCACTCTATGCTTTATAAAATTTTTTATGTTTGCACCCTAACCCTTGACATCCCTTGATTCCTGATGGCCGCCCTATCAGCAAAAACGATCTTTTGTGACTTGACCGATTTTGAATTCCATAGGGTTGGTTTATTCACTCCTGACATGGCATTCGAAGCGATAGTAAAGCGACAGATAGAAAAGCTACGATCACCAGCCATCAAATGTGTTGATATGGTTATGACTGAATTGTCTAATGTCCTGAAAAAATGTGCCGATAAGGTAGGTGGTTCCGTCAGCGACGCAGCCGTTTTTTTTTTTTTTACGATCGTAAAACGTAATGTACCTACCGCGTACAACACGTACACGGTGCAACATAGTGACGTTAACGTTAAAATGGCTTCCCATTAATTTCGTTTGATCCATCCAATTTAAACGGATATGGAATATGATGATTTATTATATAGACATGAGTGTTTTACTGGGAAACACGCCACTCATATTTTTCGTACAAACTACATCCGGGACCTGAGTAACATATTTCCCATCTCTTCACTAGTGAGGATATCGATGACGTCACTTGTGATGTTTCCCGGGACCTGTTTTGATTAACTTGCGTAGTTTTTCTTTGCGGATTTGTCTATATAATAAAAAGAAAATTACACGTTGGCTTGAAGATATGAAGTTTATCTTCTCGTGTAAAAAATATTTCACGACTCGAAGATAAACATCATATCTTCGCGCCAACGTGTAATATCCTCCTTGTATTTTTCCCTGTAAAAGAGAGCGTGTGGTCTTTTTAGTATACGGAGTCGTCTTTGAGGTTGACTTCTTCATTTGGAAAAGGCGGTTCTGCCAGTGAGGTGTCCATGGCTAATTTCAAAATATATTCATAATAGCTTCTAGTCAGATTCTCTTGAGAGGTCATTAATAAATGATCTCTACTTCCCCTCCCTTCGCTCCTTCAAAACATAGGAAACCCCCTGTACATTACTACGCAATATTTGTCATTAATAGACCAGTTTCGAATTCCAAATTACCGCTGTGTTCCTTGATTACAGACTCATTTGCACAGGGTTACCCTCGTGTCAGTGTTTAAATATTCACAAATACCAACAGTAAAGAATGCACAACTTCAACAATACAAACATTTTGAAACTCGACGGACCTTGACTGGAACACGTGAATATTCTGCACAAACTCGAGGCTAACCCTGTGCAAATGAGTCTGTAATCAAGAAACAGAGCGGTAATTTGGAATTCGAAAGGGATCTATTGTAGATCTGCTCTCTTAGAAATACTGTCATTGATTGTTTTAATTTAGTTGGGGAAGTACCCCTTGCTGAGAGACAGAGTAGAACGAATAGTTCTTGACCACATTAGGAAGGGTGAAGTACGATCCAAGACACAGGTATACTTTTTTTATATCCTATTTATACTTTTACTTTCTGACTCTCACACTCATCCATTCTACAATCATCACTCCCCTCGTTTTTTCGTTCGTCCGTCCGTCCGTCCGTCCGTCCGTTCGTTCGTTCGTTCGTTCGTTCGTTTGTGTGTTCGCACGCTCGTTCCTTCGTTCGTTCAGTCGTTCGGTCGGTCGTTCCTTTCCTCCTTCCCTTCTTTCACATGCGTTAGATCATTCATTCATTCAACCTAATCAAATAATTCGTTCGTCTTTTTTGAAAAAAAAAAAGACAACCTTTCATTCAAAATTGTTTGGTTCATTAGATCGAGACGTTCATGGAGCTGGAATTAGCATACATCAATACCAACCACCCTGACTTTATTGGCTACGCTGAGTAAGTAGGCTTGATCTTTGAATTACAAACACTTGCATATCTTGACAAAGACGTCCGAGTAAAAAATGGATTTGGGAATGAATGAGATTGCAGTAAATGAATTTGAATAGACTTATCATCGCCCTCTCCTCTTACACCCCTAGTTTTCTAAGAAGACTAAAAGTCCAACAAAACTGCGGTCCCTTGATGCCAAGCCCCATAAAAACTGCACATATTTTTTGTCCCCTCCTCTGCCATCGCGTCCGGTTGAACCGCGTCGAGTGGACAGTTCAAACCCGGAATTAGAAAATACTTTTGCTGATACAAATAGCCAAAGTGGATGTTCCTTAACGGCAGAGTAATAGAATGATAATGATACCTTGTTCGTGTTTAAGAATAATTTTATTCCCTACACACTGGGAAATTCCGGTTTTTTCCTTTCTCCGCAAAAATATAATTTTAAATTCCAATTCGATCTATCGGTAACCTTATCGAGTGGGTGCAAAAGCTATTAGGCTTTCCTTCCACCACAAAGAGGTAAATCTAAGTACATTTTTCATTCCCCCGTTAGTTGATCAGAATTAATTTTATGCTGTTGTATTTTTTGAACAGGGCCCAGGTAACATCAACAGTCAACGAAAGAAAAAAGCGAGCCATCTCTAATCAAGTATGTATATTTTCATACCCAACATAAATTACCATTATGTTGCACGCAATGTTTCACRTAATGAAATTTGTTGCGCGTAATGTTGCAAAAGTAGAGCGCGATTCAACTTCTGATTTGTTGCATGCCACGTTGCGTGCAACAAGTTTGGGGTAGGCACACGCTGCAACAGTCATGTTGCATGCAATGTTGCATGCAATGTT